CAGTTTAATGGTAGTACCGGTTTAACGGTGGTACCAGTTTAATGGTGGTACCAGTTTAATGGTAGTACCGGTTTAACGGTGGTACCAGTTTAATGGTGGTACGGGCCAAACAGCAACCTTCTTGTGGTCCCTGAGGTTCTGGACGATGCACAGACCGTGGACTCGGTTCTCCTCCTCGGGGACTTTCACACCAAAGTCTAAAGCATCAATAATAAACTCATATTTAGAGCTGTAGTTATGGACTATTTCAGTTCTGGAGAAATTAAATAAGTTTTAAAGAAAACAAGGAATTGAATTTTAAGGTAAAAACCTTCAGTGATTCTTGAAACAGCTCTGGGTGAAACTCCTGTGTTAGTAGATAAGGGACCGTTTATGGTCCACAGAGCAGTCTCAGAGTAAGGACCATGTGTAAGACCAGTCCTATTACAGCCTCATTGATGTTCTGCTTTAATGAATAATTAAGTCACTCATTATAAAAACACTTAACACAGACTAAAGTCCTGGACCCTCTCTTTACGACCTCCGTGTTTACTCCACGCTGCACTTTATTACTCCAGGATTTCATAGATTTGTGCAGAATCTTGAGAGTGTTTCCACCAGAGATCATCAGAACAATGAGACCAGGTTCTTTCTGTCGTATCACAACATTTCAGCAAAAGCCAGAAAGGGATTTTGCATCTGTACTTTTCTGTCTTTTTAAATAAAAGTATAAATTTGATTAAAAAAGAGTCTCCTATGTATTTTCTTCTGAAGATATCTTTTCACTTTCCACACCATGAAAACATACAGTAAAAAGTCTCATTATAATTACAAATATAAAGCACTAACCCTAGCACCTAGCACTTAGCAGCTAGCATTTAGAACCTAGCACTTAGCAGCTAGCACTTAGCACCTAGCACTTAGCACCTAGCATAACACAAAATACACAGGCGCTAGTAGCTTTGGAGCAATATACCACACACTTTTTTCTCCTGTAACAAACCTTCAGGCCAATAACGATCTGAAACTTTTTGGTTAACGCTGAAGACGTGGAGAACATGAACCATCAGTGAGTTTATGGTAAAGAACCGGCACCTGTCTGTCTCCAAGCATCACCAGGAAAAGGTACGGGTCAGATCCAAGGAAAGGCAAGCACAACAACACATGTGCAAAACCTCCACATACACAAAGGTAGTGGACAAAGCAACACAAAACATAGTGTAGCATGTAGCGGTGTTATCGCATAAAATCATTTTGGCCACACTTTAATTAAGCTCTCACTAATTAACAGCAAAATAAGTGCTAATTTGTGTATAATTTATGGTTAATTATTAAGAATTTATTTATTAAGCACCTTATTCTACATGGTCTTTTTCAACATCTAACTAACTACTGACTGACACTTTCCCTGTGGGCTAGAGTTAGGACTAGGACTAGGACTAAATCTAGTGTTAGGACTAGGATTAGGGTTAGGACTAGGGTTAGAACTAGGATTCATTCTCCATCTCCATTGACGGCGCCTCCATTTCCCCTCACCTCAGGTAAAGAGTCTGGGTGTCATCCTCGACAGCACCTTATCATTCACCGCAAACATTAATAGCATCACCCACATTGCCTTCTTCCATCTCAGAAACATCCGACGACTCCGCCTCTCTCTCTCCCCTCACACCACCGCCATATTCATACACAGCCTCGTCACCTCCCGCCTCGACTATTGTAACTCCCTCCTGTTCGGTCTCCCTCAAAAAACCCTCCATAAACTCCAACTGGTCCAAAATACTGCTGCCCGTCTCATCACACACACCCCCTCCATCAACCACATCACCCCTGTCCTCCAACAGCTCCACTGGCTCCCCATCACTCACCGCATCCAATACAAAATCCTGCTCCTCACATTCAAAGCCATCCACAACCTTGCTCCTCCATACCTGACTGACCTCCTCCAGATCCCCACACCTGCCCGCTCCCTCCGCTCCTCCTCCTCTCTCCAGCTCCTGGTCACTCCTGCCCGCCTCGTCACCATGGGGAGTAGAGCCTTCAGCCGCTCTGCTCCCCAGCTCTGGAACACTCTTCCCCCCTGACCTCCGTAACACCGACTCACTCACATTCTTCAAATCCACCCTCAAAACTCATCTGTTTAGACAAGCCTACTTACTGTACTAACAAAACCACACTCTCCTCTGTCCATGATGCTTTTCACTTTGTATTTTAACTGTTTTTAAAATGCACTTTTTTTTTACTTGTATGTAAAGCGACCTTGAGTGTCAAGAAAGGTGCCTAAGAAATAAAATGTATTATTATTATTATTATTATTATTATTAGGACTAAGGTTAGGGCTAGGGTTAGGACTAGGGTTAGAACAAAGGTTTGGACTAGGGTTAGGTTTAGGATTAGGATTAGGATTAGGGTTAGGAATAGGACTAGGGTTAGGTTTAGGATTAGTATTAGGAATAGGGTACACTAACTAGCACTAAGCTGTTAATAACACTATAATTAATATTTAAATATGAATAATATAAAATCTTCCTAGGCACAAACAACAACAGCAGCTGTTAAAACCCAACACCATCTGTTGTGTCTAAAACTGCTCCAAACCTTCTCCTAACGACGACTAACGAAGGCGAGAGGACAGAAAACCACTGATGATGTTGAAGAAACGTCCCTGTGCTGCTGCCGTCCCTTTGATGTCGGCTGCAGACAAAGGGACAGCTCACCCCCCACAGAACAAAGGCACACGACTCTTTCCAAATAAAGTGGGAATGGAAAGAAGACCAAAATAAGAGTGACAGATGTGCAGAGATGACACATGTCTTGGTTAACGCCGCCACATGTTTTGGTCGAGGACAAACATCCACAAGTGTCGCTGAAGCTGCTGCGGGAGTTCGTTTTTAGGTTTTCCACCGTCTTCATGTGGGTCGCTGTGAAAGAGCACATGATGCTGTATATATTAAAATCCTACTAAAATGATGCGTGTATATTAAAATCATATTAAATTATGCTGTATTTATTAAAATCCTACTAAAATTATGCTGTATATATTAAAATCATATTAAAGTTACGATTGCACTGTATTTCTTTGGCTGGACATGAGCAAAGATTGATGATAGTACTGAGAATACAATGAACTACAATCATACATAACAAGTGAATCTATATTTAAACAATTACATATGAAGTGCTGAGTTAGTTGAAATAATTAAATTGGCTTAAGTGGACAATATGTGGTACTGTTATAAAATGGGTTTTAAAAGTCATTCAAAGTCTATGATTTGCACTGTTTTACTACATTAACCCATGAGTGTGGTGCAGTGTGAGTTCTGTTTGTGTGTCCATGTCCTAGTGATTTGTGTCTGTCCGTAAAAAAAAAAGAAAAATTCTGAAAATCCATGATTGCCGCCATCTTATGAAGTCATAAAATGCAAATAAATGTACCAATCTAAACTTTGGACCATCCTTAAAATGTGTCTAATTTACATAAAGCCTCTATCTCTTATTATTTTGAAGTTGCTAAGAAATTAAGATTCAAGAATAATTTTGTTGTTGAAAAACTCTTGTCTATTCAGTTGTTATGGTCCCAGCTGGATTTGTCTGCATATCTGGCAACCTGAGTCAGGGAGAGTGGGAGAGGCTGCAGTACCACCTTTGGCCACACGTTTGCAAACTGCTTCTTTAAGGACAATAATCAGCTGTGGTGTAGGTCGTGTTAAAGTTAATGATATTTCTACAGACTAATCATTAAACTAAGGCTTTTTTATAGGACACACCCCTGGTCTCTCTCTCTTGTCTCTATTTCTGGTATCTCTCTGGTCTCTCTCTCTGGGTCTCTCTCTCAGGTCTCTCTCTGGTCTCTCACTCTCTGGTCTCTCTCTGGTCTCTCTCTCTCTGGTCTCTCTCTCTGGTTTCGCACTCTGGTCTTTCTCTGGTCTCTCTGTTCTCTCTCTCTGGTCTCTCTCTGGTCTGTCACTGTTTCACCAATCAGAAGGTCCGTGATCCGGGTGCCAGAACTCACCGTGTGGAGCTAATCTCACTGGTAAAGTACAATGTGGCGCAGAATTAAAAAAGGTATTATTATGATTCTCAAATCATTAACGACAAAACAAGGAATAAAACCAGGATTTCTATCTTTGTGAATCAGGTGTTGGTTATAGATTTATTGTTGACAAAACTCTTCAGCTGTTGTGGTCCCAGCTGGATTCGTCTGCATACCTGGCAACCTGAAGCAGGGAGAGTGGGAGAGGCTGCAGTGCCACTTTTGGCCACATTTTTACACACTGCTCCTTCATCAAGTTACTCCCAACATCTGAAAAAAATCAGATAATAAATTACTTCCAGCTGTTTAGCATTGTTGGGACGCGAACCGCAGTTTGAAAACCACTAGCTCACAACCTGACACAACATAATGTACTTTGGGTTTGGGATGTCGAGAATGTCTGGACCTTCAACTGCGTTCATTAACCACTCAAATTGTTAGGTCCATTTAATAAATTGCCCTAATTCTAAAATGTCTTTGACCTCAGGCTCCGTCAGTCTCTGAGCTGTCGACGGTGGAACAAGCCCACGAGAGAAACACGGAAAGTAGCTGTTAAAAGAAATCACTTTGAGGTTAGAAAGATCGAGGCTAAACTTTAGAATCTGTTTGATTTAGAGCAACAGGGCCTGGCCCACATTACAGAGACCAGGATCCTTCAACACCAGGTCTCTCTCTCTCAGGCTCTCTCTGGTCTCTCTATGGTCTCTCTCTGGTCTCTCTGTGGTCTCTCTCTGGTCTCTCTCTCTTGTCTCTCTCTCAGGTCTCTGTCTAGTCTCTCACTGGTCTTTCTCTCTGGTCTCTCTCTGGTCTCTCTCTGGTCTCTCTCTCTCCTCTCTCCCTCCGCTCTCTCTATCCTCTCTCTCTCTCTCTCTCTCTCTTCTTGCTTAGGGCCCATTGATCCCAGTCCAAGTCAACCTGGTGCTGAATCCCAGTGGAATCCACCCAGTCAGACCCAGTCAGACCCAGTCAGACCCACACTCTTCTCTAAACCTCAGCGTTTGAATGAACAAGACCGACTCTGGGATCCCGGGGTAATAACAGTCACTGGGACCATCGCCTCCTTCTCCTCGTTCGCCCCATTCTCCTCCACGTTCTCCTCGTTTACCCCATTCTCCTCCACGTTCTCCTCGTTTGCCCCATTCTCCTTCACGTTCTCCTCGTTTGCCCCATTCTCCTCCACGTTCTCCTCGTTTGCCCCATTCTCCTCCACGTTCTCCTCGTTCGCCCCATTCTCCTCCACGTTCTCACTCTCCGCAGAATCTGAGAGAACATGGAACTCACTTCCTCTTCTTCCATGTCGTATCTGTTACTGCCTGCGTATGAACGGCTGGGGTCATGTGGTCGGCTGTCTATTTATCCTCGTGGTCATTGACTGCGTTCAGGCCAAGAGAGGAAAAGGAGGACGAAATTTAAGATGCTCTCTCCAAATTGGTAGCAAATGTATATCCACTTGTCTTTTGGACCGAGTGAGATTCTCAAGTGCTAGGCCCAGTGCGCTCCGAGATGCGGGGACGGCTTCTCTCTGTAATAATATTTCAACAGTGGTTACAGACGCAAGACCGGCGCCATATCTCAGCTTGGGCTGTTCCCACCAAACAGCTACATCAGGGATTTTCATTTTATTTCTGGGAAGATAATATCCCTCAGTGTGTAGTAGCGGTGGTCGTAAGGTTAAGAGAAGCCGCCGTATGGAGTTGCAACGCAGAGATTCCCAGAGTCAGACCTGCTTTATGGTTATGGAGAAACTAATAGAGCCGTATAGAACTTTAGCATAGTACCTGAGAATCAAATAAATATGGAAATGGGGACAAAGGAGTGGTTTTATTGGCCATGCATGTCCTAAACTACTACTTAAGATTTAATGTGAGGCCATTCCAGGCAATAGCAAACCATTTCCTCTGCCATTTTGTTAACACATTTCTCCCAAGTCTAAGAGAAAAGCCTCTAAGACACTCATTCTGCAGATAAACAACTGCACAAAGAAGACTGTGAATATCACATCTTCATTTAAATGGCTCAGTAGAGTCCCATTTTCTGCCCAACAGGCTCCATAAAAGCCAATGATGTGGTGAGATGTGTTTCTGCAGCGTATGGCTCCTGCGATGTGGCGGCGCACGGACACTTCTCTCCCTCAGACTTCCATCTGGACACAATGGTGTTTTCTGGTGCAGTCAACAACCAACAACTTCGAAAACTTCATTAACCTTTGGGCTTGGTCTCATCAACTCAGTCATTTAGAGTTTAAGCCAAAAATAGAAAATTGAAGCACAACAGATTGAAAAATAGATGTGTTAATAATCTATCAATATTCATCTAATAATAATAATGCATCAGTTTTATACAGCGCTTTTTAGGACACTCAAAGTCTCCTCACATGATTATTCATTATCTCCAAACACGGTGGTGATAAACAACTACTGTAGCCACAGCTGCCCTGGGGCACACTGACAGAAGCGAGGCAACCATGTCTGGTTATCAACATTTGCAACTTTTTACATTTATCTGACTCGACCATAGACAGTAAATATTAAGGATGTAGTCACGATAATCTCCGACGCTAAAGGGACACCACTTTTTCCTTCTGTGGCTTTTTCAAAATAGCCGCAGGGAAAATGTGAAAAAACAAACACTTTAGTGCATGTGTCAGCTGCACTAGGCCAATTCATTTAACGAGTGCATTCAAAAGTCCACAGCGACTAAACTACACTGGTACAATAAAATATACTCTGGAATGTAGCGTTGGACCAAGAGCCACTTTTGGACCATCCAAGACGTTTTCTAGAGTAAAGAAGACGCCATACAAAACAGTCTCTTTGGGTTAATTCTCTTTCCGGGTACACCCCCACCGGGGGGAGTGAGATTGCAGCATCTGCACATGGACCTTTTGGAGCCGGGACCCGCCCACACTGGACTCGCCACAAGTCCTGAGATGAAATCGAGGCATAGGAAAAGAGAATTAACTTGAACCAGGCCAAACTTTCAAGGACAAATTACTTCTTAAAGGTAAATCACATCTATAAACTAATGTGTAAAATGTTCAACTTTTGGATTTGAGTTGAACCAAAAGATTAAAATAAACACATGCAAATAAATTCACCAAATCATGATTACAATTGTTTACAAACTGCCACAGATACAGAAGGAAAATCCCCTCAGATTTTCATAATAGGAGTTTTTGGGAATAAATTGCATAACAAAGGTTAATTAAATTTGCAGTAACTACCACCGATTTATATACCACTCCCAGGGTCCCACTGCCACCTATTTACCTGGCGAACGTTCAGTCTCTCCCGAACAAGTCGGATGATCTCCTGAGCCGTATCCAGTACCAGCGCGAGGCTCGGGACTGCGCAGTGTACTGCCTCAGCGAGACGTGGCTACATCCCAATATCCCGGACTCAGCTGTTCAGCCGCCGGGATTTGCCATTTTCCGCTCGGACAGAGAGAAGGAGAGCACGGGGAAATCGAAAGGTGGAGGTGTGTGTTTTTTAATTAACCAGCACTGGTGCACTGACATTTTTATTGTTAACAAAACATGCTCTGCTAACCTGGAGTGTCTGGTTTTGAGATGCCGCCCGTTCTATCTTCCCCGAGAATTCTCAGTGATTTTTTTATGTGCTGTATATATTCATCCTCGGGCTGACTGTACAGCTGCACTGAATGACTTAAGTGACATTTTGCATAAACATGAAGCTGCTCACCCCAATGCTGTGATTATAGTTGGTGGTGATTTTAACAAATGTAACTTAAAGTCTGTATTACCGAACTTTTATCAGCATGTGAGTCAGCCTACCAGGGGAGCTCACATCCTGGATCACTGCTATAGTAACGTGAAGGCGGCTTACAGGTCCAGTCTCAGACCTGCTTTTGGGAAGTCTGATCACTCTGCTGTTCTCCTTCTTCCTTCTTATACACAGAGGAACAAACAGCACAAACCTACTTCCCGCACTGTGCAGTGCTGGTCTGAGGAGGCTAACATGAAGCTGCAGGGCTGCATTGATGCCACAGACTGGTCTGTTTTTAACTCTGAGAATGTTGATGAATTCTGTGAGGCTGTGACAGGATACATACAATTTTGCATTGATTGTTGTGTCCCCTATAAAATTATCAAAGAACACTCCGGCCAAAAACCTTGGATGAACACTGATGTCAAACTTAGAATCAATGAGCGGACACTGGCGTTTCAATCCGGTGACGAGGGCGCTTACAAGCTGTCCTGCTACGCTGTGGAACGCTCTATAAAAGCTGCTAAGCGTTCCTATGGGGACAGGTTAGAGGGCTTCTTTGGGGAAGAGGACCCCCGACGCATGTGGAAGGGGATCAGTCTTATCACGTCCTGGAAACCAAGTGCAGGGAAAATTGCTGCTGGCCAAACTCTGCCAAACGAGCTCAACGACTTTTACTGCCGCTTTGAATCTGCCGATCCCCTGCCTTTTGTCTTCCCCGAATGTCAGGGTGCCTTCACAGTGACTCAGGATGAAGTACGGCGTGTCTTGTCCAGGACCACAGCTCGGAAAGCCGCAGGCCCGGACTGCATTCCTCCCCGCGTCCTGAAACTGTGCTCCGAGCAACTTGCCCCTGTTTTAACGGACATTTTTAACTTGTCACTCAGGAGCTGTACGGTGCCGGTGAGCTTTAAAAGGTCCACCATTATTCCAGTTCCTAAGAAGTCTCCAGTGACATGTCTCAATGACTACCGCCCTGTGGCTCTCACGTCTGTTCTTATGAAGACTTTTGAGCGGCTCGTGCTGGAGTTTATTAAGAGCCAGATCCCTGTGAGTGTTGACCCGCTCCAGTTTGCTTACAGACAGAACAGGATTGTGGAGGATGCCATCTCCTTTGCTCTGAACTCTGTCTACACTCATTTGGACACTAGTAAATCTGTCGCGAGAATGCTGTTCATTGATTATAGCTCTGCTTTTAATTGTCTTGTCCCAAGCATATTGGTTGAAAAACTAATGTCCCTTGGTCTGAATGTTGCCATGTGTAAATGGATTTTTAGCTTTTTAACTGACAGATCTCAGAGAGTAAAAATCAATGACTGTTTTTCTGATGTTGTTTCTGTGAGCACTGGTTCTCCCCAGGGATGTATTTTGAGTCCCCTGCTTTTTACTTTGTACACTCACGATTGTGTGTCCTCCTCTGACTCAAATCTGATCATCAAATATGCTGATGACACCACCATCATCGGTCTCATCAGTAATAATGATGAATCCTCTTATAGAGCAGAGATCGAACATGTTTTTCAGTGGAGTAAAGTAAACAATCTCCAGCTGAACATTGCAAAAACATGTGAACTTGTCTTTGACTTCAGTCATAGCAGTTCTCACACTCCTGTTGTTATTGACAACTCCCAGGTGCAGATCGTAGAGGAGTGCAAGTTCCTGGGCTTAACTCTGTCTAACGACCTGAAATGGGCTAAAAACACTGACCGGGTCGTAAAGAAAGCCCGTCAGCGTCTTTACTTCCTGCGGAAACTTAGAGAATTTACCACTAACTCTAAGATTCTGCTGAACTTTTATCGCTGCACCATTGAAAGTTTACTTGTTGGTTCTGTGTCTGTGTGGTTTGGAAACATCACAGATAAAGAAAAGAGAGCTTTAAACAAGGTGCTCCGCTCTGCAAAGAGGACCGTGGGCTGTGAGCTTCCTGTTCTGGAGGTTCTTTACAAATCCAGACTTTTAAACAAAGCTCTTAAAATCATCGGTGACTCTTCTGGCCACCCTGGGAAAGCCATGTTCCAGCTTCTTCCCTCTGGCAGAAGATTCCGGTCACTGAGATGCAAGACATCTCGCTATGCTAACAGCTTCTTTCCACAGGCTGTTAGGTGCCTAAACAGAGCATTTTAATTCCTGCTTTTACCTAATTTTAAACTGCTTTTACCCCTTGTATTGTTTTGTCGATCGGTGCCACAGTGTCAGCTGTTTTTTTATTATTTATTATTTTATATTCAGTGTATGTGTATTTATATTACATTGTATCGTGCTTTTTATTCTGTCGGTGCACACAGAGTACCTCTCTTTGCATGTATTTCCAATGTAGTTTTACTGCACATGGCCAATAAAATGAATCTGAATCTGAATCTGATTTGGGGGCAACAGTGGCTCAGTTGGTAGAGCATTACCCTTTGGGCCTGAAGATCGTGGGTTCGATGCTCCCACTGATGTCTGCTGTTCTTGGGAAAGACACTTAACCCCACGCTGCCTGAAGGCCCCTCAGAAAGACCAAGGCTGTGTCACCGCTGACAGAGGATCAGAGGGACTGGTGCTTTGAGGAGTGGGGGGTAGCACTCATTGCCACCCCCCAACAAATAAAGGGGATGAAAATGAATGAATACCATCAGTTGGGTACAATCTAAGATTAACTTTGACCTTTCTCAGAAAAAAAAGATAAACATGGAGGCCTCAACACTGTATTCATCCAAGTTGCCGCACAGACAATAAATGGGCAAATAAATGTGTTAAACAGTCAATGTTCAGGAGCGATCATTTCTTTTCAGAGTAAATACTCTGTGAATGTGTCTATGGAGTTTACACATAGTTTGTTGTGAGTGGCTCACTTTGGGAAATGTAGACATGACATAAAGATTCCAAATCTGATATAAACAGGTCCTAAAGAATTAAATTGACCTTTGACATTTTGTGAGGCTCTAACAACTTTTGTGTTTTCAAAAGTCATTGTCAAGAAGGATCAAAACTTGTTATAGTATCACCTCTAGGTGTTGTTCCCTCTCTGACCAGGAGAGGGCGGTAACACACTTCTACTGGTTCAACACAAGGTTCTGCCTTTACCTTTAGTACAGCCACAGTAATTATATATATTTAAGGTAAAGTGATACACCCCCAAACTGTTTGCACCATAACAGTTTGTGTTTAGATCATAAACTGTAAATACTAATCATGTTTAGACCAACACTGTGTATTCAAATACTTTTCGCATTTATATTTTTTACAATAACAAAATCATGTGTCATTAAACTTCCACTTCAGAGTTACTTTTATGTGCTCCTTTTCATTTGTGTGACAAGACAATTATTTGAAATGTAGTTGTAATATGTGATGTATTATGTCCACAATTGAAATGAATAAATAAATGAGAACTTTCAGTAAAACAAAATCCAAATAGATCGTTAAGTTTGTAAATCTGACTACATATGCAAAAGTTCAAACTGTATCAATAATTTCTATTAGCAAGGCACTGTAGAATCATCAATATATGACGCAAGTAACTAGACCAGTTTCTCCCAACACTGTAAACTGGACTTAATCTATATTTTTAAACAATAATTAAACTCTTTTTTACGTCAGAGTTTAGCCTAGTCCTGAAACTGGACAAAAGTACGTTTTATACATATGTTCTATACATATGCTATAACAAGTACGTAAGTAATGTGAACTAGTTTGATGCTGTGCTGCCCCCTACTGGAAGAGAATTACCATTGTTTTATACTGCAACGTCTTAAAAATTATACACAGTTAATAAACATATAATTATAAAAACATAACAGCAAGTAACCAACCATGGACGTTTTATTTTTATTTTTTTTACAAAAATAGACAAACAAATGCAGTGGATATTCTGAATCCCTGCAGATAAAAGTGAAGGACGACCAGCGAGGACCAGTTACAATAAAAAAGGACTTAAATGAATGTAAATTAAGGTTAATGACTGGTTCAGAAACATTTTTAAAATATAGATCATAGCACAGACCATGGGAGGAGGAGAGAAAGAGAGAGAGAGAGGGGGGGAGAGAGGAGGAGAGAGGACAAGACAGGAGAGAGGAGAGAAGAGAGGAGAGGAGAGGAGAGAGGAGATGAGAGGAGATGAGAGGAGAAGAGAGGAGAAGAGAGGAGAGGAGAGAAGAGAGGAGAAGAGAGGAGAAGAGAGGAGAAGAGAGGAGGAGAGGGGAGAAGAGAGGAGGAGAGAGAGTAGAAGAGAGGAGAGGAGAGAGAAGAAGAGAGGAGAGAGAGAAGAGAGGAGCTAAGCGACCCTTGTGGTGAGGTCAGTCTGAGGACTGGCTGCTGCTCGATGATGAAGATGATGAAGCTTCATGTTTTCTTTTCTTGTGTTTCTTTTTGTCGTGTTCTTTTCTGTTTTTTCTACTTTTCTTTTTGTGGCTTTTAAGTTTCTTCTTCTTGGATCGGTCGTCGCTGTCAGACGAGCTGGACCGGTGCTTCTTCTTTTTCTTCTTTGGCGTCTCTTCGTCACTTGATGAAGAGGATCTGAATAAATGAAAGAACATGTGAATTATGTGTTTTTGGAGATTTTAGAGTTTTTAAAGATTCTAGAGATTAGAGATTTTAAAGATTCTAGAGATTTTAGAGAGTGTGGTTTGTGCTAAACTTAGTCCTCTGCATCTGCTTCACTCTTTAATGCCACTCATCAGGAGCAGTGGTCCCTACAGCTACAGCTACACCTACAGTAAAGCTATGGTTAATGGTACTTTCCCAAAGGGCAATACTAAAAATATTGTATAATAATGTTGTATAATGAAAGTCCAAAGAGGGTTGTTACATTTACACGCTGTAACCAGAGCTGCTTTGTCAGGACTAAAACTACTGAAGAACCAACCACACATTTAAGCTTTAACTTTTCTTTTGTAAGTTGGTTATAACATTTGTTTAGAAAAAAATTCAACAGGTTGGCGCCCCCTGCAGGTGCCATTAAGGTCTGCTGCCTGCACTACTGGTAAGAACAAGATGTACAGAACAAAGCTGCAAGACTGGTTCTCATGTGTTCTTATTTTGGCAATAAGTTGCACAATAAACTTTTAGTGATTCTGATAAAGGTAATATTGAATGTCTGAAGAAAATCACATTCACAAACTCAAATATGTGTGTCATTATAATGAAAGCTGTTTATTAATGTTGACTTATTAAAAAGGCACAGATCAAATACTATGAAGGCAATGAATGAATTAATGTATCGTTTTATTGTATAATTTATATATTATTTGCAATACATTCATTTTAACTGGGACCTCAGGAAGATTAGCAACTACATTGGTGGAAGCTAATGGGGATCCCTAATAAACAATAACAAACAATGTGGACACTCAGACAATCAGAAATTACCTTTTCCGTGATTTTCTGTCCTTGCTCTTCTTGCGTTTGGACCTGACTTTTCGATCATCGTTACCTTCAGAGAAATTAGAAGGATTTTAATGATCGAAGAATGTTTAGTAACAAATCTCCCGCTCCCATCTCTGTCTAAGTCCTCTTTATTTATATAGTGCATAACTATAGTGAGTCCTGTGGACTCACCACCTGCAGGAGGATCAGGGAGGGGCTGGTGCTATGTGCACTGGGTGCAGATCTGACCGCCACCCCCCCCGACCCAGAAATGGATTAAGGGGAAGAAAATGGATGGATGGATGGATAGTTCAGACAATATTCCATTCTCTCCAAACGGTGATGACAAAAGCGAGACTCAGAACACATTGGTCCATCAAAGCCTCCGACCAACCAGCACTTCTGACTCCAACTCAACAGTAGCACATGTGGTTCTGAATCACTTAGAAAATCTTAAGGCATATGCAACAGTAGTATTTTATGACTTTAGCTCGGCATTTAATACGCTCCGTATTGACACTCTTGTCCGTAAGCTAGTCTGTTAAAATGTAAACAGCTGGCTGATTAAATGGTACTACTCTTTTTTAACAAAGCGCTCTCAAAAGGTGAGGGTCAACTCCATGTTTTCAAGGGAAACAGTCTGCAGTACAGGAGTGCCCCAGGTTACAGTTAGCTCTTCTCTTTTGTTTACATTATACACGAATGACTGTGTTAGCTTGCAACCCAACCAGTATATTATCAAATTTTCTGATGACACCGCTTTACTGAGTTTGCTCACGACCTGCTCTGACACCAGTGGCCACACATCTGCAGTGGACCAGTTCATTAAATGGTGCAATCATCACCACTTACAAGTTAATGTGAACAAGACAAAAGAGATAATTGTAGATCCTCATTCGATCGGGGACTATAGCAACGTCTTCATTCATGGACAAATAATTGAGCAGGTTTCATCATATAGGTACCTTGGGGTGGAAATGGACAATGAACTGTGTTGGCACAATCATGTGTCGAATATCTGTGTAAAGATCCATCAGCGGCTGTACTTCCTTCGTAGGCTTAGAGTATTTGGAGTGAGCCAAAATTTTATGTTGACCCTCTATAGAGCGAGTATTGAATCTACACTGATATGGAATCTTGAGCTGGTTTGGTAACCTCACAATGAAATACAAATCACAGATCCAGAGGATGCAAAAACTAGCCGGGAAGATCCTGGGAGTATCACTGTCCACTCTAATCTCACCTCAGACTATTTTAGAGCAGTCAGTGATTAGACAGGCCAAGAACATCATCAGAGACTCCATTCATGTTCTCTACTCACAATACGAGCTGCTGCATTCTGGAAGGAGGTACAGGACCCCACTGTGCAAAAGCAATAGGTTTAAGAACTCTTTTGTACCTCAGTCCATACAGCTGCTGAATAACATCAGGTTATTGTGCATTAGTGTCAACGAATGTTATGTGTGTATTGTCTGTTTTTTTTATGTCTGTATCTGTGGGTGCTACTTTACAAAATTGTAAAGTGCTTTGTAACTCTGGTCTGCAAACTGCGCTGTATAAATAACTATTTCTGTAAGCAACTTTTTAGTATTACAGTAGTGTGCATGTGTGTTGCCATGTGATCTTTAGTTTCCCGGGGTTTGGTTCTTTATAAATAAACAGGGACCACACTTTTTTTTTTTTACCACAATCTGCCTCTTTTCTGTCTACGAGCAGAGCTTACAGTGATGTTAGTTATTCCCTTGCACTGTGGAAACACTGGTATAGTATCCTCCTCTAAAGAGATTTGGGAACTATTATTGTTTTATGTTTGTTTTGTTCTGGACAACGAGTGTGTAATAAAACTATCCATCTCTAAACGGGGAGGACAGAGATGGATTACTTCTTTTCCAGTGACGTACCTTTCCGTTGTTTCTCATGGACGTGCACTGCCTCCTCTTCATCACTCTCTTCTGTGCTTGTGCTGCTCACGTCCAACACGATGTCTTTCTGGGGATCGACCCTGATGAAATTCCGACACTCAAAAGTTAAATGCCCCGCTGTGAAAACACCAGAGTAACGTGAGTTTTAAAGTAATACGAGTATTAGTAAGTAAGTAAGTAAGTAAGTAAGTAAGTAAGTTTTTATTTATATACCGCCTTTTCACTGCAGATCTGAGTCTCAAAGCGGTTTACAATTGTTAATTATACATATATATAGTTTTTAATGGAGATTCTCTTACGATAGCCACATTTCTTGCAGCCCGCTCTGATGTTGTCTTTATTTGGTCCTGTTTGGGATAAAAACATGTGATAACGTTAAATGTTCTGAGATGTATAATTATTCTACTGCAAAGTCGTCTTGAGATCATCTTTACGTGGATATTGTTTAATTTGAATAAGTAATTCCACTCTAACATTACCTGGAACATCCATTTATTCAATAACAGAAGAGGGGAATGTAGTTAACGACAACAAAACGGCGTGTCTGAGCCTGGGTCTTGGTCAAAATAGAGCCGGTGGGAAACACCAGAGCTCATCGAAGGTTCCGGGTAAGGAGTTCAAACTGCACGTGCGCCCTCTGCTGGATTGGAATGAAAACACTATTTAAATGTCTCGCTTTTTAATCTTTATTGTTTGATTCTACCACGTTACACTTCGTGATAGGTGGCAGTAGGTAGTTCAGCTGTTTAAGGCCGTCTAAGTAAGTAGTGAGTCAGTAAGTAATCTTGACATTCTCTATTTTTTATTTTTTATTGTACAAAAGTACATCCTGCACAGACTATATTTTTAACCTTTAACATGTTTCACACTTCTGTCTTTTGCACAAACTAAGTGATTCTATCCATGCCAAATGTGACATGCACTTTTCTCCATCAAAGATCAATAAAGTCTATCTTATCTTATATTATAGAACGATAAGTATTATCATTATTCAAATGTATTATGAAAACAAAGGACAAATCATCTGTACTTATAATAAATAATAATGCATCGGTTTTATATAGCGCTTTTTGGACACTCAAAGATGCTTTACATGTCATTATTCATTCACTCCATACCCGGTGGTGATAAACTACTACTGTAGCCACAGCTGCCCTGGGGCACACTGACAGAAGCGAGGCAACCACTCCAACCACCATCAACCATTCACACACACACACTCATTCTAGGCAATGGGGGCAAAGTGTCTTGCCTAAGGACACAACAGCAGTTTGGCACTTTACAGCCACAGCCGCTCCACTGTGGCTGGTGTTCCCAGAGGTTTAGTGTCTTGCCAAGGACACAACGACAGCAGACATCAGTGGGAGTTGGTGGAGAAAGTCTTGTGGTGGGCTCGAACCCACGACCTTCTGGCTCACAGCCCAATGCTCTACCAACTGAGCTACTGTCGCCTCCAGTTAAATTTCCTTTGTTCTTTATAATCCCTGTACGACTGAGAGCTTGCACAAACTTACTATTATTATTATTAGGTATTTCTGCACACATGTTAAACCTACAAACTGCAAACTCAAACATACTTATAATGAACACTATTCTCACATTATTATTGAAGCCATACATACTTCAAACATGTTCATACTTTCTCATTGTTTTGAATTATTTAATACAAAATTGATCACTTGGCTCACAACTTATCTTTGGAATAATTCAATTCAATCCAATGTATTCTTGTAGTTGCCTAAATCACAACAGTAGTTTCTCAGAGGACTTAATAAAACCATTGAGACCACATGGTATTGGACCATAGGGAGAGACCACATGGTATTGGTCCATAGAGAGAGACCACATGGTATTGGACCATAGGGTGAGACCACATGGTATTGATCCATATAGGGAGAGACCACATGATAATGGGCCATAGGGAGAGACCACATGGTATTGGTCCATAGAGAGAGACCACATGGTATTGGTCCATAGAGAGAGACCACATGGTATTGGTCCACAGAGAGAGACCACATGGTATTGGACCATAGGGAGAGACCACATGGTATTGGACCATATAGAGAGACCACATGGTATTGGACCATAGAGAGAGACCACATGGTATTGGACCATAGAGAGGGACCACATGGTAGTGGACCATAGGGAGAGACCATATGGTATTGGAACATAGGGAGAGACCACATGGTAATGGACCATAGGGAGAGACAATATGGTATTGGAACATAGGGAGAGACCACATGGTATTGGACCATAGGGAGAGACCACATGGTATTGGTCCATAGGGAGAGACCACATGATATTGGATCATAGGGAAAGACCACATTGAATTGGACCATAGGGAGAGGGTTAGGGTTAGGGTTAGGGTTTACCCTACCACTTACCACCACAGGGTTAGGGTAAACCCTACCTCCGGTTTACCCTACCACTAAAAACATACTGCACACTAGGGTAAATCCTCCAGCTCTGGTCCTGACCAAGCCGAGCATCAACATCTGGAGATGGGTTCCCGGGCGCTGTTACTACGGCGACCACTGCTCCTGACGTAAGCCTTAGGACATTAGGGTCAAATGCAGAAGATGGATTGCCCTACAGGGATCAATAAGGTGCACCTTTACCATTACTCTACCCTATGATCCAGAATAATGATCTGAGTCCATGATTGTCCCGAAACAACAGAACAACAGCTGTGGCCCACGGCGTCACCAACAAAATGACTGTGGTTTTTACCAAGGGTTCAGTGAGACTCAGAACACACTGATGTAAGACCCCAGACATGCTGTCAGCACAGGGACTCTGGCACACACTCAGATGTGCTTACACCGCCACGTGCACACTCACACATACACACACACACACACATAGCCACATGCACACTCACACATGCACACTTACAGCCACATGCACAGTCACACATGCAGACAGCCACGTGCACACTCACACACACACAGCCACGTGCACACTCACACATGCACACACGCACAGCCACATGCACACTCACACATGCCCACACGCACAGCCACATGCACACTCACACATGCAGACAGCCACGTGCACACTCACACATGCACACTCACACATGCTCACAGCCACATGCACAATCACACATGCACACTTACAGCCACACACAGCCACTTGCACACTCACACATACACACACAGCCACATGCACACTCACACATGCACGGCCACATGCACACTCACACATGCACACTCATACATGCACACACTGGTGCTGGAGACAATAGAAAAAGAAAGAAAAAATAATCATAATTCAGGCGTTGATATCAAAAACCAGACAGACTTGTAAATGTGGTCATTTTTCCCCAATTTGTTCTTTGGCTAGAATATTTTAACTTGACATTTTATTGGTCTATATCAGCTGTTCCCAAAGTCTAGTCTAACTCAGACCCCGAAACCTATCCAGGAATATCTCTGGCCCCTCCCACTAACACTTCACAAACATATACAGGATTCAAGTTGTGATTTTTTGTAGAATTCCAATCACATTTTTGTAGATTTGATCAGTTGTGTGCCCCTTATGTCTCCCTGGTCCATCAGACTGGTTGGATCAGGATCTTTTGGCGTGTTTGTTGCATAATGAGATGGTAAGAAAGATAAATCACCAGCTGTAGCCAGTGGGGGGCGGGTCCCGGCTCAAAAGTGGCCAAAATGGCGTGCGCTGACATGCTTGCAATACCACCCCGGGCCGATGGGGGTGGACCCGGAGTAAGAATTAGCTAATGCTAACATATAGCATTAGCTGACCTCTCTAAAACGTCTTTACAGGATGGTCCAAAAGTGGCTCTTGGCCCAAAGCTCCGTTCCACATGTGTGTCAATACTGAAGGGAGTGTTTTGGACCAGTCTAGTTTAGTCACTGTGGACTTTAGAAGGCACTCGTTAAATGAATGGGGCTCTTGCAGCTGACACATGCGCAGATGCGTTTTTTCACATTTGTCAGCCCCCGCGGCCATTTTGAAACTGCCCATAGACCGCGGAAGTTGTGGCACATCCTGGACTACCTCACAGACAGACCCCAGTTTGTGAGAACCAGGGACTGCGTGTCTGAGGTCCTGACCTGCAGTGTGGGGGCCCCCCAGGGAACTGTCCTCGCGCCGTTCCTCTTCACCCTCTACACTGCGGACTTCAGACACAACACTGACGGTTGTGTCCTCCAGAAGTTCTCCGACGACTCTGCCATCATCGGACTCAGCTCCGAGGACGATGACGCAGAGTACAGAGGAGTTATACAGAACTTTGTGGACTGGTGTCAGCGGAACCACCTCCTCATCAATGCGGGGAAGACCAAGGAGATGGCAGTGGATTTCCGCAGACGTCACTCTGCCGCTCCAGCCCCAGTGAACATCCAGGGAAAGGACATCGAGAGAGTGGACTCTTACAAGTACCTGGGTGTTCATCTGAACCACAAACTGGACTGGACTCATAACACAGACGCCCTCTTCAAGAAGGGCCAGAGCCGCCTCTACCTGCTGAGGACGCTTAGGTCTTTTGGAGTGCAGGGGCCACTCCTGAAGACCTTCTATGACTCTGTGGTGGCATCAGCCATCTTATATGGTGTGGTCTGCTGGAACAGCAGCATCACAGAGAGGGACAGGAAGAAGCTGGACAAGGAAGTCCAGCTCAGTCCTGGGCTGTTCCCTGGACACAGTGCAGCAGGTGGGGGACAGGAGGGTCCTGAGCAAACTAACATCTATGCTGGACCATGACTGTCACCCCCTGCAGGACACTCTCTCTGCTCTGGAGAGCAGCTTCAGTGACAGACTAATTCACCCTCGCTGTGTGAAGGAGAGGTTCCGTAGGTCTTTCCTTCCTGCTGCTGTCAGACTGTACAATAAGAACTGCTGAGCCTGTAAATTTCATTCATCTGTAACTAAGTAAATTCTTAAATCATGTGCAATGTGCAATACTGCAACTTCAGGATGTCACAGAACAATGTCACTTTACCTCATGTCACTTTACTTATATACTTTTTATCCTGCACTATTTAACTGTACAGTATATAACTGCACTACTACATATCTATTTTGACTGGCATTGAAGCATTTTCAGCATCTACAGCTAGTTATGTTAGCTTAGAAACATAGCTACTACTTATTTGTATATATTGTGTGTGCTCCCTGTGTGCTCTTACTACTCTCCTATATGTGCGATGCAACATCGAAATTTCCCCACTGCGGGACGAATAAAGGAATTCTTATCTTATCTTATTAGTGTAATAATTACAGAACGATAAGGCGTGACTACGTCCGTTAATATTTACAGTCTATGATTGTAGCTCACACTCAGCATTGGACATTGAACCTCTGCAACTTACCACATTTTTAGCTTATTATGAACTTTTGAAACACAGCAAAACACCGCCCGGAAGTAGAACATCCTCCTATATATATACATATGTATCCCTTTAAGTGTCTCAATACAAAGGTAAACCTTGGTGATATTACATTACTAGTTCAAATCACAGTAACTT